CGGCGACTTAGTCTTTCTCATGTGTGATAAGAACAAAACCAAAGTACACGAAAAATGTCTTGTCGTTCACATTGTCAATGATCATACGTGCCAGCTACGGAAGTTTACCAGTTCGCAGTACCGTAGTAAGGTGTACACCGTACCCATGTCGCAGTGTTACCCAGTACTACCAACAATTCTTGTGCAGTCGCCTCAGGGACCCATCAGAGGTCAAGTATCAGATGAAACTTTAGACTCTGACTCTGACGATGACCCGTGTGGCTTAATTCCCCCACGCCCTGCTCTGACATTTGGTCACCGGTCGTGTCCTCCTCAAATGCCCCCTACAGTTACTTCTCATCAGCCGCTACACCTGCAACCGGTCTTGCCAGTACCTCTTGTGTTGGCTCAGCCTCCCGCGCCTGCACAGCCTCCTGTACCTGATGCTATCATCTCCGTTCCCGATACGTCTGATCCGATGACTTCTGTTCCGCAAAGTGTGCCAGAGTCTCCACTTCGTCGATCGACCCGCTCTTGTACTACTCCTCATTTGCAAAACCAGGATTGGGACCTCAGCTGATGAAACCGTTGTGTGAACTGTGACCTTTTTTCAGTACTGCTATCATTTACTGACCTACTTTGTGTGTTATTAGTACATGTATAGACATGTATTTTGCAAAGGACAGGTTACGGGACAGATACACTGCACCCTAGTTATCGTTTTCTTATTGTATTGAGTGTTCACCTTCTTCGTTTTCATGAATACTTGTGCCATTAATATAGGATTAGTTATTATCTCAAAAGGACATATTAGAGATAAAGGCAATCACGCCAGTACGTTATTTTCTTTCTCTTATATCAAGCGGCCTCGTCACTGACTTCTAAGCGGCCCCATGCTGGGCACTTCCTCTTCCGGCTTGATTCCATTTTGTTGTAACATGTGGTTATTGTGTGTTGTGTTACATAAAGTCTTTACCATCAGAACACGGTGTCATTCCTTATTGGCGCATCGTATCCATTTTGGCCTAAACTAACTCGGTAGCATCATCTAAAAGTAGTTCACACACCTGGTCACTTACGTATTCTGATCTTATGACCAAAAGTACGCCATCAATCACATCTTATGTCGGATGTTTGGTGTGTTTTCATGGTTAACATTAAAAAGGATTTAGTCGTATTCTACTGCTACTACATCCTCGATATTCCAGGGGTTACGCTCACTTTCGCTCTCTGCATCCATGGAATCATCCTCGATATTCCAGGGGTTACACTCAGTTTCGCTATCTGCATCCATGGAATCATCCTCGATATCCAGGGGTTACGCTCACTTTCGCTCTCTACACCCCTGGAATATGTCATGGCAAAATTGAAGGCTCGGCGTGCGCCACCTTGTTGATGAGACAAGAAGACTAGTTCGATCCTTTGATGTACATCAAAAGAATCTCGCGGTCACGTAACGGTAAAAATTGAAAGGCTTTGAAAGCGGGCTTCTCTCCTTTGTAATCTTCAAAGGAGAGGTATCAGCCTATCAATTGGTCAGGTTTTTTTTACATGAGACCAATCAAACAGCTATCTTCGTGCCTTCAAATTTCATCATGACATATTCCAGGGGTGTAGAGAGCGTAAGTAAGCATAGCCCCTGGATATCGAGGATGCCATGGAATATATCATAACAAAATCGAAGGCTCAGTGTGCGCCACCTTGCAGATGAGACGAAGAAGACAAGTTTGAAAACCTTGATGTACATCGAACGAATCCCCCGTTAGCGTAACGGGAAAACTGACTTTGAAGTCGGGCGTTGCACCTCTTTTATCTTCAATGCGCAGGTGCCAACCATGTGTTTTATCAGTGTTTTTAACTGAGACCAATCTAATAGCTAGCCGCGTGCCTTCAATTTTGCCATAACATATTCCAGGGGTGCAGAGCGTAAGTGAACGTAACCTCTGGAGTATCGAGGATGCTGCTAGTAATACTTGGGTTTAGCCAGGATTCAGTACCAATGAATATATCTGGCACTATGCATTAGGTTTGGGTGTTTACGTTACTTGTTTAAGCAGATTGTAAGTCTTCATGTGTTGCCGTTTCACCCCTTACAGCTGTATATGAATCATGTGCTTAGTTTAGGATCTAAAGTTACTGCTGGTGCCACTGGAAAGACCAACAAGGGAATTGTCAAAGCTGATATTTTGAAATTTTTGGTTATGGCGGGGAAACTGTAAAAAAAAAATAGCCGAATAAGGGAGGTCATGCTGAAACTGTGGTAATCTAACCTCCGTTGCTGTAAGGGGTTTATGGCCCGGTGAGAGCAGGTACAAGATAATGCTGTAAGGGGTTTATGGCCCGGTGAGAGCAGGTACAAGATAATGCTGTAAGGGGTTTATGGCCTGGTAAGAGCAGGTACAAGATAATGCGACTTACAATGAGGCTTAGAATACATCCTCTTTTCTATGTTGGAGACATGAGTGATAAGTTCATATGCTACATTTGTTGGTATCAGCAATGACAAATATTTCCATTTGATACGTTCTTATATAAAGTACAACCTAGCTGCATAATGCCTTTTGTTCACTCAACCGAACTTTTGTAGGAATTTCGTTAAGCAGGGACGATAGTCAAAAAGTTGTTATTTTTTGGGGTTGCAGATTTGACGGCAATCATTTCTTTCATCGCTTTACATTTCAATTGATTTCTGAAACTCGCCCATCGCAATTTACCGCAACTATACAAGAAAAGGTCCAAAGACAATAGTGATGTTGTATGCTTAGCGACGGTGTAATATTGCTCTCGGCATCGATATATAACAATAGGAAGGGTGTAACCCGTATATTTTTTCCGATTTCGGCGATTTTGTGATTGTTGTCATTGGAGGCGTTGCATACCTGTACTTTGTTTATAGTAATTCCTTTATCTTTTATATGATTTGTATCTCAATTTACAGTCAGAATTTCAATCACATTTGGCTCTATGGCATCCTCGATATTCAGCGGTTACGCTCACTTTCGCTCTCTACACCCCTGGAATATGTCGTAGCAAAATTGAAGGCACGCGACTAGCTATTTGATTGGTGTCAGATAAAAAAAAAAACACCTGACCAATAACTAGGCTGAAGCTTGTCCCTTGAAGATTACAGAGGAGCGACGCCCGACTTCAAAGCGAGTAATATTTACCGTTACAAGACCGCTAGATTCTTTTGATGTACATCAAAGGATCAAACTAGTCTTCTTGCCTCATCAACAAGGTGGCGCACACTGAGCCTTCAATCTTGCTTTGACATATTCCAGGGGTTCAGAGAGCGTTATTGAGCGTAACCCCTGGATATCGAGGATGCTCCATGTCCGAATTAGACGCAACTTGGTAGAAATGACCAGAAAGGGTAGCCCTCATATGAGTTGTTATTTTTTTTTATTACAAGATGTTTGGGTTAAATAAGCTTGGGCTATCTAAATTCGTACATAACAAACAGGCCAGTCATTGCCCATGCTTATTCCAAAAGAAGAAAAAGCTGCAGACTATTCGAGTACATAAATATTACGGAATGGCTCTAACATGTAGCAAACGGACCGCATTACTAATATTGACCTAACGACCTATGTGCCATACGGGACGCTGAGTATAATTATACCAGACAAAAGAGCAAATATATTAGTTTTCTTTATTTCGCTTGTTTATTATGTATACAAATCTCATGTAAAAGGCATAAAGCATGTTGAGACTGTGTATTACATTATTTGCAGGATAATGGTTTGTAAACAAATATTCCATACACTGAGAAAAAAATACTAGACTACAGTGAAAGCATTATACAAGATTCAATTAGCTAACTTTCCTATGGGTGTAATAGCTTATGTGAGGCATTTTACTAATTTGCAAAATTTCAGTGTTTTTTTTTTATCTATATTCGGCGTACTGAGAAAAATCTTACAGCATTGTACATTATTCGATGAGCAAACTTTCCTATGAATGTAAAATATTTACTGAGGCATTGTTCTGATTTGCCCGTTTCAGTTGTTCTAGGCGAGTTAAGCATCTATATAAAATGTATATAATACTAGGCCCCGCGCAGTAATATTTCGAAGTTCGGCTAAGTAGGTATTCCTTTATCATTAAATAACACGTCAAGTTTAATCAACCGATCTACAACATCCAATTTCTTTCTCTCGTATTCCGTCTTTGCGTATTGCAGAGTTCTTCACTTGTGAGCAGGTATTGATTGTTACGTCATTGGTTTGTGCGAGAAAATTACGTCGTTTTCTCAAAAATTGATGACGTTACTCTCACAAACAAATGACGTAACAAGCAATACTTGCTCACCACAGAAGATAACTCTGCAATAAGCAAAGACGTAATAGCATCGCCTCGTAACAGACGTCCTCAATCCAACCCAAAAATATGACCCCTGGCTTTATGGATCAATATTGAAGTTTAAAACATAGTCAACACCTATGACATCGAATGAAGTTACATTCTTACAAATGTGAAAAATGTTATTTATCAATAATTTAATCTTGCTTGTAACAAGCATTTTCATTGGCTTACAAATTTATGTTATCAGCCCATAACGTAAAAAAATGACGTCGCCGTTTGTAACGTCGCTTTTAATTGGCTGATACAGCAGCACAATAATTTCTAAGAGAAAAGAGTCCATCAATAAAAGTGGATTTCCACAGGGATTGTGTAAAGTAGATTAAATTATAAGGATTAACTTGAATATATTTTTCATGTTATGGGGCTATAGCACAAAAAACCGGAGCGTCGCGGTCTATTTAGAGTACACTCCGTTTTTTTGTGCTATATATCCATAACATGAAAAATATATTCAAGTTAATCCTTAAATAACTAACAGTATGTAATATAAATACATAGTATATATTATAAATGTATAAATATGTATATATCTATTTGCAACTATACAATTCACGTTGTGAATTACGAACAATATAGATATAATATTATATAAAAAATAAAAAATAAATAACAGAATATATATGTAAATAATGTAACAATACAACGTTTTATATAAAACTGTATGCAGACATTGGAAAAGATCAAGTGTCATATTTGATTGGATAAACATTGTACATGTGAAGCAACATTCTCTTAGATGTGCGTATTCGTGTGAAATATTCGTAAGTTATGACAAATGAGATACATCTGAAGTACCTCTTTGCAAAATACATTTACTCACGTTGGTGGAGGATTTGTGAATGTACTAAAACAATGCTTTGTGTAAAGGTTTGTCTTATGGAACCAAACGCTTTCATACACAAACCTCCTACATAAACATTCTTTATAAATTTAAAGGCTATCAAATACAATCTTCCCAAAGTTACCATGTGCCACACACTATCTTCCCAAAGTTACACTTTGTCACACGACATCTTCCCGAAGTTACACTTTGTCACACACCATCTTCCCAAAGTTACACTTTGTCACACAACATCTTCCCAAAGTTACAATGTGCCACACCCCATCTTCCCGAAGTTACTTTGTCACATACCATCTTCTCACAGTTACACTTTGTCACACCCCATCTTCCCAAAGTTACAATGTGCCACACACGTCACACACCATCTTCCCAAAGTTATAATGTGCTTCACACCATCTTCCGGAAGTTACACTTTGTCACACACAATCTTCCCAAAGTTACACTTTGTCAAACACCATCTTCCCAAAGTTACACTTTGTCACACACCATCTTCCCAAAGTTACACTTTGTCACACACCTTCTTCCCAAAGTAACAATGTGCCTCACACCATCTTCCCAAGTTACAGTGTCCCAAAGTTACAATGTGCCACCGCACACCATCTTCCCGAAGTTACACTTTGTCACATACCATCTTCCCAAATTCACACTTTGTCACATACCATCTTCCCAAAGTTATAATGCGCTTCACACCATCTTCCCGAAGTTACAAAATTCACACTTTGTCACACACCATCTTCCCGAAGTTACACTTTGTCGCACACCATCTTCCCGAAGTCACACCTTGTCACACACCATCTTCCCAAAGTTACACTTTGTCACACACCATCTTCCCAAAGTTACAATGTGCCACACACCATCTTCCCAAAGCTACACTTTGTCACACACCATCTTCCCAAAGTAACAATGTGCCTCACACCATCTTCCCGAAGTTACACTTTGTCACATACCATCTTCTCAAAGTTACCCTTTGTCACACACCATCTTCCCAAAGTTATAATGTGCTTCACACCATCTTCTCAAAGTTACAATGTGCCTCACACCATCTTCCCGAAGTTACACTTTGTCACACACTTTCTTCTCAAAGTTACACTTTGTCACACACCATCATCCCAAAGTTATAATGTGCTTCACACACCATCTTCCCGAAGTTACACTTTGTCACACACAATGTTCCCAAAGTTTCAGTGTGTCACACATTATCTTCCCAAAGTTACAATGTGCCTCGCACCATCTTCCCAAGTTACAATGTGCCTCGCACCATCTTCCCAAGTTACAATGTGCCTCGCACCATCTTCCCAAGTTACAATGTGCCTCACACCATCTTCCCAAGTTACAATGTGCCTCACACCATCTTCCCAAGTTACAGTGTGCCTCACACCATCTTCCCAAGTTACAATGTGCCTCACACCATCTTCCCAAAGTTACACTTTGTCACACACCATCTTCCCAAAGTTACACTTCGTCACACAACATCTTCCCAAAGTTACAATGTGCCTCACACCATCTTCCCAAGTTACAATGTGCCTCACACCATCTTCCCAAAGTTACAATGTGCCACACACCATCTTCCCAAAGTTGCACTTTGTCTCCCGACATCTTCCAAAAGTTACAATGTGCCACACACCATCTTCCCAAAGTTACACTTTGTCTCACACCATCTTCCAAAAGGTACAATGTGCCACACACCATCTTCCCAAAGTTACACTTTGTAACACACCATCTTCCCAAAGTTACAATGTGCCACACACCATCTTCCCAAAGTTACACTTTGTCTCACACCATCTTCCAAAAGTTACAATGTGCCACACACCATCTTCCCAAAGTTACACTTTGTCTCACACCATCTTCCAAAAGTTACAATGTGCCACACACCATCTTCCCAAAGTTACACTTTGTCACACACCATCTTCCCAAAGTTACAATGTGCCACACACTATCTTCCCAAAGTTACAACGTGCCTCAAACCATCTTCCCGAAGGTACACTTTGTCACACACCATCTTCTCAAAGTTACACTTTGTCACACACCATCTTCCCAAAGTTATAATGTGCTTCACACACCATTTTCCCGAAGTTTCACTTTGTCACACACAATGTTCCCAAAGTTTCAATGTGTCACACATTATCTTCCCAAAGTTACAATGTGCCTCGCACCATCTTCCCAATTTACAATGTGCCTCACACCATCTTCCCAAGTTACAATGCGCCTCGCAACATCTTCCCAAGTTACAATGTGCCTCACACCATCTTCCCAAGTTACAATGTGCCTCACACCATCTTCCCAAGTTACAATGTGCCTCACACCATCTTCCCAAGTTACAATGTGCCTCACACCATCTTCCCAAGTTACAATGTGCCTCACACCATCTTCCCAAGTTACAATGTGCCTCACACCATCTTCCCAAGTTACAATGTGCCTCACACCATCTTCCCAAGTTACAATGTGCCTCACACCATCTTCCCAAGTTACAATGTGCCTCACACCATCTTCTTAAGTTACAATGTGCCTCACACCATCTTCCCAAAGTTACAATGTGCCACACACCATCTTCCCAAGTTACAATGTGCCTCACACCATCTTCCCGAAGTTACGCTTTGTCACATACCATCTTCTCAAAGTTACACTTTGTCACACACCAACTTCCCAAAGTTATAATGTGCTTCACACAATCTTCCGGAAGTTACACTTTGTCACACACAATCTTCCCAAATTCACACTTTGTCACACACCATCTTCCCAAAGTTACATTTTGTCACACACCATCTTCCCGAAGTTACACTTTGTCACACACCATCTTCCCAAAGTTACAATGTGCCTCACACCATCTTCCCAAGTTACAATGCGCCTCGCAACATCTTCCCAAGTTACAATGTGCCTCACACCATCTTCCTAAGTTACAATGTGCCTCACACCATCTTCCCAAGTTACAATGTGCCTCACACCATCTTCCCAAAGTTACAATGTGCCACACACTATCTTCCCAAAGTTAGAACGTGCCTCACACCATCTTCCCGAAGTTACACTTTGTCACACACCAACTTCCCAAAGTTATAATGTGCTTCACACAATCTTCCGGAAGTTACACTTTGTCACACACAATCTTCCCAAATTCACACTTTGTCACACACTATCTTCCCAAAGTTACAACGTGCCTCACACCATCTTCCCGAAGTTACACTTTGTCACACACCATCTTCTCAAAGTAACACTTTGTCACACACCATCTTCCCAAAGTTATAATGTGCTTCACACACCATCTTCCCGAAATTACACTTTGTCACACACAATCTTCCCAAAGTTTCAATGTGTCACACATTATCTTCCCAAAGTTACAATGTGCCTCGCACCATCTTCCCAATTTACAATGTGCCTCACACCATCTTCCCAAGTTACACTGTGCCTCGCACCATCTTCCCAAGTTACAATGTGCCTCGCACCATCTTCCCAAGTTACAATGTGCCTCACACCATCTTCCTAAGTTACAATGTGCCTCACACCATCTTCCCAAGTTACAGTGTGCCTCACACCATCTTCCCAAGTTACGATGTGTCACACAACATCTTCCGAAAGTTTCACTGTGTCACATACAATCCTCCCACATTCACACACTGTTACATACACTCCTTACAATAGAACTAATATGAGAAGTGAATATGGTTTTTCCTCTTTGTCAGGTAACAGATAATAAGCCTTTGATTAAAATCGTTTCCACTGTCCCGACAGACGTTGTATTTATTTAAATCCTGAACCTTTCCAACTGCTGCGCTAATTTTAATTTAATCACACATACAAAACAATTGACATTGAATTTGACGTAGACAATTCATACTTTCACCAATTGTTGCCCATATAATAAACAATATACTAACGATTATTTTAAGACGATGTTTACATGTTCCATATAAGTTACCGCCGTCATCAGGAGTCAAACTTACGGTAACTAGTATCCTGGATACTCCAGAGGTTACGCTCACTTGTATTCCCTGCACCCCGAATGCAGAGAGCGTAAGTAAGCATAACCCCTGAAGCGTCGGAAATGACCAGCATTTGCACTAAAATTGAAATGCTATCTAAAGCTCTAGACCTTTCAGTTGACTGAAGTGAAAATCATGTTTGACCTGACGGCCATAATCTTTGTTGTAAATCTAAAAAAAATCAACCGTTTTCAATCAACTGACATGGCACTGAAATCATTCAAACATATAAAGGAGGTCGTACATAAACGTCATCATACGAGATCGTCAAGTGCCTCGGTAAGGTCCGCCATTATCCTTGTTTTTAATAAAGGGTCTGATTTGTCTTTGAACAGCCTCCTACCTATAGAGTAGTAACTTTCTGGAGCCTGTAAATGTGAAACAAATGCGTGCATTATAGACTGGACAATCCGTGTGATTGGCGGTAATTGATAAAGAAACATGAATCTGTTAACATTCCTTGCGACGTAAATATTGTTGGAAAGAGGCAAGTAGTCATTCAAAGATGGTTTAACAGACACCAGTTGCACTCGATGCACTTATTGGATACTCTGTTCTGTAAATGATACTTAGTTAACCCTTTCATCCCTATATAACTTCAGTAGACTCTCCCATGCATTGATCTGGGTGAATCCATTATGGTCTACAGTGGTGAAAGGGTTATGCAATCTGGTTGGTGTTAATACCTTTTATCCAACTGAAAATTAATTTTCTAAATGAGAATATCTTTATATCTATGTCTGTCGAGGCATAGTCAGAGAGCCGTAGGGAATCTAAAGGGTATATTAGAATGCTCAGAAATTACATCATTCAGAACAATCTTTATAATTTGATTAAATATATATATATATTTATAAAAAAGAAAACCTTTCTAGGTATATGTCTTCATAAATCAAAACATTGAGAATAATCTTTATAATTTAATTTCAACATAAGAAATATATATTGATTCCTATTCATTTTTACGTATTCATAAAATGTAATGATGGTTTACAATCTTGCAATCTATGAAATCTTGAATTAAAGATTAAAACCGATCAAATGTATTCTCACTAGAGAAAGTGGTACTAAAATAAGGTTTGAATCAGGCTATTATTGCATATCTTATGGGATAGTATGACATTTGGTCTGACAGAAATATCTTCCTCTCACCTCGTCCTTCATTCTGGCAAGAAACAATATGTCCTTTGGTCTTAGAGACTCAAATCGGTCTCTGAAAAGCAAAACAAGACATCATAATTATATGATTATCCGTTCTATTCGGAATAAGATTCATCGGTTTGGTATGAATAATAAATGCAAAGTTTGTTTTGAACACAAACAGTTTTTGAAAAAAATAGTTTCCGAGCTTTCGAAAACGTCTGTTTCCTTTGTCAAGCAAGGATTAAAATGACCGGTGTCTCGACTCTTGACCGACGTAAACAACTCACTAGGCCACAATGTGCCGAGTCCGTAAAGTCAGTTGTCAGAAAATATATATATTGTGGTTTAGAGTCGAGACACCGGTCATTTCAACTCTCTGCTTGAGGAAGTAAACGTTTTCGAAAGCTCGCAAAATAACTTTTCAATTACGGTTTTGGTTCTAAAAGAACTTAGCAATTATAATAGGTGCTAAATTTACAAATACTGCAAAATGTACAGAAAACGTCAGGAAATTGTAAAAAAAAAAATGATCCTAACTAAGCTAATAAGCAATATTTCTTAGTCAAATATCCTTTATAAATTGATTTCTTATTCTGAATATTGATCAATTGATTTCTCCTCTGAGGATCATTCTGGACGAATCAAGGAAAGTCAGATATTTTTTCTAATGCTATTAAATCTGGTTCTTAATGAGATATATATATGAGAACGTGATTTAAATTATAAAAAATTATATATCATATACTATGTAAAATATATCATATACTATGCATCATACTTAATATATTACAAAAGATATCTTAAATGATTTAAGCTATTTATTTTTGATAATCCTGCCATAGATATATGTACATAAATGTAAAATTGACAGGCTATATCTTTCACGTTCACACTACTTTGTGTAATATAATTGTTCAGCATGCAATCGAAATCTCAACTTTCCACTACAAAATATCCAATAATGAAGATAACATCATACGCATATTTTTGTAGAAGATGATGACGACAGGTTTATACAGAAGTATATCCCCTACTTGTCTTACCTTGGTAGTTGGTAGTTATCGAGCCATTCCTGAAATGTCTGCTTATCAATATCTCGGAATTTCTACAAAAACAAAACAGAAAACAAAATCCATTATACAAAGATATTCGGGGTATAGTTGCATCAGTTTACATTTTTAAATCAATTTCTCGGAATTTCTTTAAAACAACATTCCTATATACAAATATATTCAGACTTCAGATTATACACCCTCGATACTCCAGGGGTTAGGCTCACTTACTCTCTCTGAACCTCTAGAACATGTCATGAACATATTGAAACCTTAGTGTGCGCCACCTTGTGGATGACTAGTTGGATCCTCTGATGCACATTATCAGAATCCTGCGGTTGGATAACGGTAAAATTAAACGCGTGCCTTCGATTTTGCTATGCCATATTCTTAGGTTGCAAAAAGAATAAATGAGCGTAAACCAAGGAGTATCTGGGATACAGGGTATAGTAACAATGGATTATATTTTTATAATGATTCCATGCACCTTTTTCTTTTATATTCCCGTCTGTATGGCAATGCTAATACAAGCTGACTACACAGATTTCTAAATCGAACAACTAATTATTGGATTATGACTCTTTACAAAATATACCTTACATATGTTTCTTTTAATGGCAAAATCGTATAATTCATTTTTCAGTTAACTTTTCATGCATGGATCATAAATCAACAGCCAAAATCTGTGAATGATCGCCAACTTTATGAGTCTGACGTCACAGCTTTGACGACGTGCAAAACACCACGCCGGTTGTTAGCGGTCGCTACAATCTGCATTAATTATATAATTGAATGTAAAGAAAAACAAATCTAAATATAGCGATATGTTTAGATAGCGGCTCCTGAAGGTTTACATGTTCAGTACTTTGATAGCCAAATGACACAATCGGGAACTGTCGGCACTTTCCGTAAACGAGAAAATTTGCCGAATGACAGCGTAGGTTCGTTTTAGGCTGCGAATATATTGAATATTAAACCTCTGTGAAATATGAGCATTTTTATATTTGTGAAGCAAATGAGGTGATACAAACACGAATTACTCAAAATAATGGTGACATGGTAATACAACATAGAGAGTGTGTACCCGAACATCAAAAAAGAGAACACTTTGCCATTGACAGTATACTGGGTCAGTGATAGAGTATACTTGACCATTGACAATATCTATCGGGCAATCGGTGTCCTTTGTATTAATACATGTAGGTACCTTTCTGGACATGTAAGTCACCCGAGATGTCTGGGATGCGATCCTGTTATTTTGGCTTGAATATGTCATTGAGGAAGATAGCTGAATGGGAGGGGGCTCTGGAACCGCACTGGTGGGAATGGCAGCTTCTGGTGATTTACGGCGGCTATCCACGCCCTCTCCTTGTCGATAAGCCAAGTGCTGGAGCTCATGGAGGAGTTTAGCCATAACAGACTTGAACGATTTCCTTCCAAAGTCATAGAAAAACGAGCCGGCCGTCATTATACCGAGCCAGCCATCAGGATCGTAGTCCTTCTCGACCTTAAGTGGAATAACTTGTTTATTTAACTTTCCAGCGTACGCCGCCTCTGAAAAGCAAGAGAAATTGACATCTTTATTATCTGCCCTTGAAGCGGAAACCACCTTTAACAGAAGTTCCATACGTAGACACTCCTAAATCCGTAAACAGAACCTAAAGATCGAAATAGTGATACGTTTCATCGACAAAGGCGTGTTAGCACACCATACAGCAAGATACGGCCACTAGGTTAATGTATATAGTCTTAAAGAAATGTATCCGGTATTTGTTTATTATGAAGACATAGAGGGCAAACACAGATTCATCAGAAGCAACAAAAACTTGGATCATGCTAAAACTTGCCATTGATCAATACTAAAGAATGTTCGGTTCCGAGGTTCTGACAAGATTCAAATGTTCTAAGCTGTAGGCTTATGAGTTCTCTACAAAGCCCTAGCATAAAATTGACCACATCCGGAATAAGAACATGAACAATTTTAACAGGCAATATTGAGGCTTCTTTAGACGACCAAAATACCATTTTTTCATCACGAGGTACATAGAGCATCCTGCAGAAGCATTTGCTATTTACCCAGATTTATGTTATTATTCATGCATTTTTACCTTTTTCTATTGGAATCTCTTGGGGCTAATTTTAGCGCCATTGAAACAAAATTTCACATACTAAAAGATACGTTTCTAAATAATGATTCGCGAGTGAAATATTTCCATACATTTGTGATGACTGGTTTTAGAGGTATAACAAACTATTTAGGTAAAATCGACCTTACTAAGCCAGATTATTTCGTACAAAAGTCATAATGTAACTTACTTTAAGGTAAGTAGTACTACTATCTTAACTAAAATAGCAAAGAAGTGGTCCACCAAGTGTGTTCTGACTTGGATTAGTCTCCCTACTATAAAGAAGATAAATACCTTCTCCAGTCAAGTTATTTATCTCTCCTATTCGTTTTGTTTCCATAGACTTTGCAGCCGATACGCTGTAAACTGAGTATTTATATATCCTAGATAGCTACATTGGTAAAGCGTAAAGAGTGATGAGTTCGACTTTTGCAGTTTATATCTTATGGTTGTCTAGCTTGTTGGTACCCTTTACCTTAAGGATCCCCGTATCACTGTCAATGACTGCATGACTATAACTTTAACAAACCAATTCTGAAAACCATACCTTGCAGAATTTTTATGAAAATTATAAAGATGAAATAAAAAAAAATCAACAAGAGTTTTCTGTATGTTAAAAATGGAACGGAGCCAGACCAGGATTCGAATCCTGGACCTCCGATCATTATACTGTCGCTTCATCGGTAGAACCCAGGCCACGTCACGCTACAATTAGGATCTAAAATGAAATTAAGGGGAAGTTACTCTATGTACGAAAAATATATTGTTTTGGGACAGGGATCCTTAAGCATCCGTATCAAAATTAACAATATTTACCTCTCCGGCAGTATTCACTCATCTTGTAGCTCCTTGACATGGCAAGAATTACGACGGCGGCATTTTCAACAGCCTCTGCCATTCTCTCGTACACGTCGCCCCTCATTCTGTCCACGTCCATCCACACCGTAAATTTATTTGCCTCCAACTCCGCCCGGATATCCTGTAAAACCTGCCTCTGCTCTCTCGAGTAACTGATCATTATATGACCTCGCGTTTTCTTGGAAAACAGTGAGGTCACTGCAAAAGAATGAAATGAACACAAAAATATATATATTTCAGTGTTTCAACACTTTAGCTGGATTGCTTTTTTTGGTTCGCATGCATTAATTTAAGTATTACAGATGATGAGGAGAGGGTATAATGACTTTCTCATAATTTTTAATTCTGTTCAAAATTTTGTTTAAATGGAACCATAGCTGATAGGCATGCATTGAGTAACAGTTTTACACACGAGGAAAAGTAAAAGGTGACTTTCTTATATTTTATTTTATTTTTGTTCAACATTTCGCCTAAATTGATTTTAACCAGCTGATAGGCATGTATTGATTTAAGTATTAAACATAGAAGGTAGAATGACATTCTTAAATTTTGTTTAAAATGTCATCTAAATGGAACCAACCCGACTTTTGGAAAATCTATTGCAAAACAAAATAAAGTTACACACCAGCAGAACCCAATTGGAAAACAACAAAACCTGCAGTACGTATGGCACATCACTGTATATTGTGACTTATAATGACCTCGATGGTGGATATTAAAAGATGACATCACATTACATTAGACAATATAAGTTTCCCTACAACCTCATTGGTTGAATCAAAATTACGTGGAGGTTGAGAATGTTTGATAACGACTCAGTGTTACTCTTTAAAAAAACGTAAGATCAATATACACTTCATGACGTCTTTTCGTTTGTAACGGCACAATGCTCTCTGCCAAATACAGTACATTTCTCTTGACGATTTTTATTTACTTACGTGCGTCTTGTTGAATGATAAAACAATAATAATAATTTCTATCTTATAAAAACAATTAGGAATTTCGTGTCGGTCAATATCGCTTTATCGGGTTCATATTTATCAATAATGGACTTTTGTTCACGTCAATCTCAGTTTTTCAGACCCATTATCCTCATACTCACCAAAATCAAAAGCATTAGTTGTTATCATTAAACAAGATGGAACATATGAATCTTTTCAGGAGGAATGCATTGCATTTGGCAGCGTTTTTCTGTGACAATACAATCGAAAGGAAATGAATAGTACACTGCTGTTTCAATAAATAGTAACACCGAAATGATATTTCAAATCTCATTTCAGACCTCCACGTCCTTATGATCCAGCCTTCGAGGATGTAGAAGAAATGAGTATCATCCAATATAACCTCTCATTCACCTCAAGCAATCCATAATTAATAAAAAATAAATAAAAAAAAAAAGAGTTAGATATCGTCCAAAATAATGTTGCCAAACATTTTGTCCACGGATATGTCCTTGTCTTATGTATATAAATGTAACTCCAATGTGCGTCCTACAACAGACCTTGTGGTCCGTAGGTTGGCGACCCTCGAAGTGGAATGGCCATGGTCCAGATCGTACCACGCGCTATCTCCCGTATCTCCTGGAATGTGCAATCTTTAGCCAGTGCAAAAAGGAGGAGGATCGTCTGTCCCTCTCCGTCCTCGATCATTGCTTTCTGTGCCCCGGGCTCGAAGGCCAGCTGACTCAGTGCCGTCACTGCCTCTGCGAAAACGAAAAGATCACTGTTACATTGTAAATAATCAAAATGAAATGACAGCAAAACACGGAAGTGAAAGCGCATTCATGCGTGATACCTTTTGTACGAGGACACCAAAAGCACTTGAGGACATAAAAGATCGATGCATGAGGAGCATAGAGTCATAATGCCTTCCAGCCAAAGAGCAACTATGTGGAAGGAGTTTTTGTCAAAAGGACAAAAGTTTGTTCTGTTTGAAAATTTCAAAAGGTTGTAAACTGTAAAACATGTAAAGATGCGTAGATTCATACCTACCAAAAAGACATATTTCTTCATTAATCCGCGCTAATTCAACAAGAGCTGGCAAAGTATGCAGGTCTACTAGAATCATCTTGTTGGCATCAAAACAGGATAACTGTCGTAGCACTGAAAAAAACAAAAGTAAGCGACATGTTTGTATGCTTAAATGGCAAGGATTAGCAATCACACAGGACGTCCGTCCTTCCGTTTACTTTTCTGTTACGGTGGTACTTTCCTCCAAACGAATGATCCATTTGTGTTTCATTTTGGTGAAGGCCATGTTTTAAAATTTACGTTTTTATCGCCGGGTGACAGTAGTGAATCCCAGGTCATAGATATTCTGTTTTCAGTTGTAGTTATAACATAATTATCACCAATTCAAGATTGTGTTTTTAAGTGCTACCAGGTCAGACATGTTGTTAATAATAAATGGTGTTCTAACGCCTAATTCTACCTCTGACGTCAGGGAAACTCACCTCGGCCACATTCGAACGAAAACCATCCGTTGTGTTGCAAGACAGGACATTTTACTGCCTCTTTAAGGTGATCTATAAATAACCTGACCCACTTGTAGTCATCATCCTTCCGAAGCACCGAGTCACTGTCTCCTTCGTCCATGATGTCGGCAATCGCGGCTACCACCATCATACCGTACTCGTTACTAAGGTCTGGGTACAGCAGGATCTCCTTAACAACGCAAAAGAACAGGTCACGTGACATTTTATCACGAAATGTGAAATGCTATTGTCATTGATGACCAAAACAATATGGTTTAAACAACAATTGCAAGACAGCAAATCTATTGAAGTACATTACACTGGAAAGTTAATAGTCGTTGACAATACGGCAAAATTTAATGTTAAATGTTAATGTCCTTGATAATAGGACGGACAACGATTTTAACAACACATCAGGTAACTCAAAAGTCTTCGACAACACCAACGGTAAACTTAATATCCCTTGACAACGCAACAGATTAATGACATATTCATTGACAAAAATCGGGTAAACTTTATATCCCTTGACAACAAGACAGGTAAACTTAATCTCCATTCACAAAACGACAGGTAAACTTAATATCCCTTGACAACAAGACAGGTAAACTTAAGTTTTATTGACAAATCTTTAAGTAAATAAACAGATCTTTGACAGCCAAACATGAATACTAAACATCCAACGTAATACAACTTAAATGACCAAACAGTATGTTGTATTCAAACAATTTTGAGAAATATCGCGTACTCGGAAAGTTTTTTTTTCTAATTGCGGTTTATAGTGAGCGTAAAGTCGAGTGTTTTTTACACTCTCGCTATGTATCCACGCTGAAATGACCAATCGGAAAATGGCTTTTATTTTGAAAATAATCATACAAATTAATAATTAATGTATCATCACATTTAAAACCATAACAATATAAAGAGGTGGTTAGGGTGTCTCGCCATAAACAAAATATCTACCAACGTCGATTGGCTGGCAATTCGGTACGCCGTTCCTTCAATGTAGTACGAGGGCCATTCAATAAATTCTGTCAGTAGAGTCAGCAATCGCATATGTGATGTATAGAGTTCGACCTTTCTTTTACAATCCTTCGAAGTATCCCCCCTTAACAGAAACGCACTTTCGCAATCGCGCTATCCGTGACGTAATCGCTACGCGGTAGTCTCCCTTTGATATACTGGCAAAGTACTGGAAGACTGCACTACCCAGATCAATCCTAGAAGCATATCGTTTCCCAAAGAGCGTTATTCTTTAGTAACGGAAACAGGAAGAAGTCAAAGGACTAAAATCTGGTGAATAAGATGGGTGGTCAATCTGTACTATCTTATCTTGCTTCAAAAATGCCTGTACAATATTGCTTTTGTGGGATGAAGCGTTGTCGTGAATTAGCGGATGACATTCAACCCTTTACTTGGACGTTATTTCACGTAGATTTTTTAACAAACTTCAGTACTTTGTCTCTGTTAAAATTGGCAGTGATAGTTTCACTTCTTTGTAAGGTATCTGAACCACACGTCTGCTAGAATTGAATAAATGGCATCAAGAACTTTATTGGCGCTTGTTATAAGTTTTGCAGTCACTGGCTTTTCTTGATTTCTCGACAAATGCTAGTTATTAATGCGCTTCTGGGTTCAAAATAATAGACCCGAGTATCATTCCCTGTAAGTAACTTATATTATTTTCTTGAGCCGCAATTACCGTACTTTTTTCAATATAGTTAAGCATATTTCATTGAACGTTTTGCCTTTTGTACAGATGTCAAAAATTGGGAGATCTATTTTCTTATATAATTTCAAGAACTTGGTCAGAATGTGATGTGTACTGCCATCTGAAATACCAATCATATAAGCTATCTCAGAAATAGTATATCGACCATCGTCCTTGATTATTGTTTTCAAAGCAGCAATGTCCTTCTTTGATGTTACATCAACTGGCCTCCATGGTCGTGTGTCCTCTTTGGTGTCAACTTTAAAATGTTTGATTTGTTTACACACATGAAACACCCCTGCAGGTGGGGAACTAGAAATAAATATACCTGCTGTTTCTCACGGCATAAATCGTAAGAAGCGACTGATGTAGGAACTCCCTGCAGAGTTGGGGATTTGTGTTTGTGACCTCTACTTAGGACACAAAGCGACCAAAATAAATCTGCTGGACCCTTTGCAATATTTGAGATATGTGTGTTTCTCTCTACTTCTAACTACTTTTCGTTCATTAGCGCCTTCCTTGGCAATACCTCACTTTTGACTTTGATGTTGAACGTTCGTCAATGTGAGGAAGGGAATGAGCTCTATCGCCATGCCAGTACATGCCAAAGTCCTTAAAAATGGTAGTTGTCATTCCCTGCTTAACGTTCAGTGTTTAGGGTACCGGCAACAACTGGTTAACCAGTTGTCAGTATAATATGACTGATGGAATAAATATCTGGCTTCCTTTGGCATGTTATTTCATTAGGGAAGCATTGGTAAGTCAGCTCAAGAATTTGAGAGGAAATACTACCTTACTGGTAAGTTAGCTTTTCCGGTGATGCATTACAACCCTTGCATGGACGACACCACGACTCCAAAAACGTCGAACATAGTCAGTAGTTGGATGGTTGCTTGGAGGCAAATACCCCAACATACCGTCTCCAGCACATATTACACACATACAATACATACAATGGAGGCGCGTCTTTAATTACCTCACATGTAGCTGTTAATTATAACAAGGTCTCTATCCAAATAAAACCAAACCAAATAATATCGGTACACTTACCTTAAGCACTTTGATGATCCCGGAGGAGCGGACAGTAGCAGTCACGGTTGTACAACACATACACGAATTATGTACTAATCCAACGAACGTGTACATGTGGTTGGCGTGTTCCGGCTGCCGACAGTATAAAAACAACACATTTATCGGAAAGTATCAATTGACAAAAAAACGTTTAGCATTAACCCGTCTACGATATGGGTTGATTAGAGGTTACCATGTGATTTTATCCTTGTATATCCTACCCCGTAACACCCGATACATCTATGTCAGCCCGAGGGCCCAGAGCCCCAAGGGTTGATATTTGTCGAGGGTTTATATGTTTCTAGGGTTGATATGGGATAGGATATGGGAATATTATTGTAGACATATAGTAAGTTTTTTTCCTCGTAAATTATGCAATCATAAATGTTAATATTTCAGAACAATATTAAAATAATTAGCCATAACACGTACATAGAGTTTATTATGGAGTGATTTGTTCCTGTCCTGAAAAAAGGTCTTTGTATACAGGCGTTTTTATAGAAAGATTAACTTAATTGACAAATGTATTAAGTAATTTTAATGTAAAGTTTATTTGCACTTATGCTCTCTGTACCCCTGAAATATGTCATGACAAATTCTAAGGCTCCGAGTGTGACACCATGGGATGAGACGAAAAGGTAGGACTATATTAATCATTTGATGTACACCATAATAATCTCGCGGTCGCTTAACGGTAAAATTGACTGGTTTTGAAGTTGTGTGTCGCTCCTCCATAATCTTCAAATGAGCGGTATCAGCCTAGCCATTGGTCGTTTTTTCAACATAAAATCAATCAAATAGCTAACCGCGTTCCTTCAATTTTACTATGACATATTCGAGGGGTGCATGGAGCAAAAGCGAGTGTAACCCCTGGAGTGTCGAGGATGGTGTATAGAGGTCATTCAGGCTCCGGACGGGTCTAATACTAAATTAGATTTCCCGTTATTTATCTAATTTATTTTATTGCATAAAGTTAAGTGCCTGCGATAAACCTGAACTTAACATACCGATAATTGGCCGCTATGCAGAGGTTTCCGCCACATTTCTAAAGCCTCTCTGATGAAGCGCAACATGCCTTTATAATCCATACACGTCCGACACACAGCGGCGGAATAGTTAGCGATGTCATTCAGAATGTCCACACACACTTTCGCCGCCTCGGACAGTGCGGGGAGATCTTTTTCGGATTTCAGTATCGTCTTGCAAAAAAATGTTATCGTCGAATTTTCTACCAATTCGTCTCCAATGATTTTACCTGTCTCAAACTTATCCTTCCTTGTTGTTGCTGTATAATATATAAGATTGTTCAGATCGCCAAGGAATTTTCTAGCGACAGAACAAAATACGCGGTTTTTATCCGGTCCGAAGTTTGGGTCCTTTATTATAGACAATAGTCTTTCCTGAGTTTTAAGAATGACTGATTTAAAAAACTCAGTGTCATTCTCGTATCTCGGAGGCTGCGTGAAAACTTTATTCTCCAATTGCGTAATATTTGAAAGCGTTCTTTTCATATTTTTTTTCTTGGCCATATACTCGTCGAGGTTGCTGCTGGATGCCATAGTTAACGGTACGTGTCGATTGTTCCAATCTAAGTCCAGGTTACCATCTGAAATTGACGTACAAAATATAATTAAAATGTTGACTGAAGTTATATACATAATGTGTCTTTTAGATTTTGATCGACTTTTAATGTCTTGTGTCTGTCTGAAAACACCTTTGACAAATGTAATCAGGCTATCGTGAATACATACATTTATGTGGTCTCATTTGCATTTGATATCGAACGTTTGACAGACGACAGAAAAAAAGGTGGATCAGGACTGGTTCTTTTTTGTCAGGTATTATAGGTTCATTTTGCGTCAGATATAAAGTGCATGCGTACTTGCATTACGTGCTTCGCAATGAGTTATACATTCTTGCGTTTTCCGAACAAAGTACCGGACTTTTCGTTTGTCAGTTTGCAGATGATGGCCAAATGTCTAGATTATCCTCGTGTAGTGTCAAACAAGTCACTCAGTCACGATATACAGCTTGATAAAATGGTGTGCGCGGAAATACATAACGCGCGGAAACCTAGGACGAGACGGATACTCTATACATTCAGCATTAAAGATATTGACAAATATTTATGTTTCCAGAATTTACGCCCTTATTAGTGGTTTTATACTTACATATTTAAGATCAATATAACCTATAATTAACTCACCGCGTAGTGTCGAGGTACTTAATGATAATATATCTATATTGGTTTGCTACCTTACGACATAGTAGTATCAGTTATCGCCCTTGGTTGTCAATGACTCTAACGTAAACAAGTAGCGACCACGATTGATCAAAGTGTTGTTTTCTTTCTACTATGCGCCTCTATTTACATATTTTGTTCAAGTATGCAGGGATTAAACCATTTTGTATAAATGTGAATACTATTTACAATAATAAATCGTGTTTGAAGAGGACCTTTCGTCATTGATTACAACGCAGTAGGCCTACGCCAGCATAAATACCGAGCATGCACATATGTGTCGACTAGACCTACGTCAATGTATCCGTATGTGAAATCGTGTGTATATATGTTATGAATATAACGGTAGCTACATGTACTCTGCATTGATTAATAGTACTTATCATACTATGATTACTTACCTTACAGTGTGTGTATCACTCTCGTTCACCTGACCTCCATCAAGTCGAGTTAAATGTCCTTACGGTCAATACGTCATGAACTCTCTCCACTGTTTATTTATGGTCTCTATAGGCTGTACGTGTAGTAACGCGTAGTAATTATAACTTCGCTATAGCTATCTATTAACTGTTTACATGTGTCCAGCCAAGCGGGCCGAACCGCGGCGGCGTGGTGATAAAATAGATATAGCCTAGATATGCCGAATCACGCAGTGTCTTGTTTATAAGGCGGATCTATATAGTTTTTAATGCTTCTTGGAAATTTGTTTTAGAAATTAAGGTATGAACCTCAGATGCATCAGACAGCACACCCCTATATACAGAGTCTACTAGCTAGTTAAGTATTACGATATACTCGGATGAAAAAGAAACATCCCCTATGGCAAGCCGTTTTAACGTTTAATAATTAATATTTCAACTTAAGGTAAGTACTTTTTCACTCAAGTGATTTTTTTTACCTTAAGTAAAATTCTTTTTCTGAAGTGAAATAGTACATAATGCAAAAAATCGTTTATTTACCTGAAGGTGAAAAGAATTTCACTTGCTACATTTAGAGCGTTTACGGTACAGTCAAAAATTCCACATCGACGTCGCCGTCATAAATCACGAGAGCCTGTGCTGCTTAATGTAACGGGAACTTATTGGACATGATCACAGGCCCCTGAAAATTAATTACTGCTATATTTGAACCTAAATTAGGGTGTTCAGAGTAATTTTACATGTTTTAGGGGTTTAGATCGACTTTCCGTAAAAATGACACCCCAATGAGTATATATACGTACGAGAAGGGCGGAAAGCTCTCGTTGTCGAAAAGTCGACCCCACCTATTTTTCCTGCATTAAAAACATTTCTTGTTAAAATATCCATTATGCACGTAAAATGTCTTCTCCTTCCGTGGATATGATCTCCGTTTCCTCCAAAATCACACGCCATTTTCGAGTTTCAAAATTTTTCGCAGTTATCGTGCCACATTTATTTTATATTAATGAGGTTGACCTTAGCCACGTGCCGAGACCCGTGGTGTGATTGGCTGTAAGAGCAGCCATATTTTCGCTAACCAACCAACACTGCATGTTTCGTCACGAGGCTGAAAACAAAATGTGAGTAGCATGGCCTTCACATTTCAGTACAGGGACAATTAAAGCGTTTCATTTAGTAATCATTTGAAATGGCTGTTAGATGAACTTTTTTAAAGCTGACCACATAAAGTATCCATAGAAAGGACATATGAGATCTATCTATCTATCTATCTATCTATATGTTATACTCCACAGAGACCAAAATGGTTTTAATGCGGAGGGGGATAAACTAAACAAATGGCAGTGAAGGTCATCGAATCCATCCTCGATACTCAAGGGGTTGCGCTTACTGCACCCCTGGAATATGTCGTAGTATTATTGAAGGAACACGGCTAGCTATTTGACTGGTCTCGGGTAAAATAAAAGCTGATAACTGTCCTTTGGAGTTTACAGAGGAGCGACACTCGACTTATTAGCCACACAATTATATCGTTACGAGACCAACAGATTAGGAAATGAATTCTTTAAAAGTTTATGAACGTGTGTGAAACAAGAGGCAAGGATACGACATACGTTTATTTTCGCCTGGACCCAGTCTTTGCATTACGCCACGAAACGAATAACATAAAGTAAATTATTCACTTCGCCGACAAAAAAAGAGAATCATGAAAGACAATACTACCCACCATCAAGATCAAAGAAAATATACTGCTCTTTGGCGAACTCATGCTAGATCGGTATAGACCGATGTCACCGAGGCTCACTACAAAGAAATTCAACTAATTTAGGAATAAAGTGAAGGTAGTCGGTTGGTTTTAATGGTTTAACGTCATTTAAGGACGTGCCTCTATGTGTGTGCCAGAGACGGAGAATGTTGGTGTTTTTACCTCCTTGTGATAGCCGCGCGGGTCTGATGTCGACTTTATAGTGTTTCATCACTGAAATACCATGCCGAAGGCACCCAGCACTGCATTTTGAGGGTGTACAACCAGTTGTTGAAGTCCCGTCAATGTTTCCGATGTTTTCTCCCCGTGTTGTAACATCATGTAATCAAAACCAATGCCCAAGCGACGTAATTGAGGATTGTTCACCTTCTGATTCTTACTTCTATGGTACAGATCCGTTCGCTGTTTCACTCTTGAGGGGAAGTGCTACATCGGAAATATCATCGGGCCTGAACCACATCCAGAAAAATGGAAGATAAAGACACGTGATTGCACCTATACAAGTTGCCGATATATATATACAGGCTGCAAAAAATGAATTGCACTGTAGCACGCACCTGTTCTGTCCTTTCTAGGACTCACCGGTGATGCTAGACCGAAAAGATGAAGGAGTTGCAACCGTTATGCCTCCGAGCGGGAGAGCTAAAAGGTGTCTCATGTTAACACTGACCAAGATGCGCAATATAACATTGTGTATTTGCTTGTTATCATGAATTAATTTTGCAGTTAAGAGATACTCCAGGGGTTATGCTCACGTTCGCTCTCTGCACCCATGGATGCATACACGACAAAACCGAAGGCTCAGTGTGCGCCACCTTGAGGATGAGTCAATAACACTAACCTGATCCTTTGGTGTAAACGGTAAAATGAACAGACTTTGAAGTGGGATGTTGCTCCTCTATAATCTTCAAATGGCATTTATAAGCTTAGCGAATGGTCAGATTTTTTTTATTTTTACTGAAGGCCAATCAAATAGCTAGCAGTGTGCTTTCAATTTTGCTACATATAACATATTCCAGGGTTACAGTGAGCGCAGCTGCATGAAACCTTTGTAGTATCGAGGCTGTACCTATATCGATACAATAAGAAATAAATACAAAATCTGGAGTCAGGCATCATGTTATTTATTAAGGAGCACGTATAAGAACTCCTGCTTCTCAAATGTTACTTCATGTTTTAATGTGATTGACACATGGCAAAGCAAGACATCTGTTAACAGGGACTCTAACAATAACCAATACAAGGCTTGTTACATATTAGGAGTCTTGGAAACCGATTGTATTTCACTCATTCACCCCTGAAATTTCATAATGGACTTTTCCAACCTTTGAATTGGAAGAGTTCAAATGTGTCTTCAGGGGTGAATGAGTTAACCCTTTTCCCCCTAACTTTAGTTGACTCTACCATGCAATGATCTGGAGGAGTCCATTACGGTCTACAGTGGTAAAAGGGTTAAAAAAAAGAGCAATGGAAACGGAAGGTTAAATTGTGGATAAATGTACACAACTTCAAATAATAGTCATCCATCCACTAACTAAACAGTATTAATTATTTCGAATATTCACTATAATTTTACAATTGAAATTAAAACAATAAGCAATGTGAAAGAACAGTACAAGATAGATTAGTGCAGCACCAAAAAGAGAGAAAGAGAAAGAGCTAGAGAGAGAGAAACTTTTAGTTCAAAGACAGAGATAGTATGGAAACCTCAAGAGAGATATGTCATTATCAATGTGTGGTACTTTTTTGTGTTTGGCAAAAAGAGAGCAATAAAAACAGAGGATGAGGAGAATAGCTTTAACATAAAGGGAGATAAAAAGTATTTACTGATGATAGTTTTAAATGATGACCAGTTTAATATGATGCTATACATTTTCTAAAATAGAAGCATTTCTTACAATGACTTTGTCAGTGTTTTCGATCCTTGGCCCACTTCTTGTACACAGGTAAATCAACATACTTTTACATACAGACATAATTCCACCATACAGGTTTGCGTAACCTATGCGCATTTGTCACTCATGTAATGGATATAAAAATAGCACAAAATTTCACCCAGTTAAAACAACACCCAGCAAAATGTATGACATACAGTATTACCGGGCTCATGTAAAAGTACATTTTTTCCATTTTAAGCCATCAAAAAATAACAAATTATAGACAATGTTTGTGCTGCATTAAAACCAATATTGAAAATATTCTGACTTGGTCTACCTCCTAACAATACAGCTAAATTTATGACTATGTCCAGACACTTTTTTTCAAAGAATTGAATCCACAAAAGATGGTTAAGTGGTCGGGTGGCACTCTGAAGGTCACTAAGATTTCTGGATCAGACCTGAAAAGGTAAATTTAAGCTGATAGATCTTGTTTCATATTTGCACATTGTCATTTGATGACAATGGTACTACTATTCCGTCTTTGCGTATTGCAGAGTTATCTTCTCTTGTGAGCAGGTATTGATTACATCATCAATTTTTGAGAAAACAACGTAATTTTATCACACAAACCAATGATGCAACAATCAATACCTGCTCACAAGAGAAGATAACTCTGCAATACGCAAAGACGGAATTGTCGAGTAGGTTGTGAAACTGAATGTGTGGACTGGGACAATTGGAGTGTACTTTTCAATATTCTTGAGGATCATTGTACCACTATCAAAAAATGATTATTAGAAATTGCTTTTCCCAGTATGAATATATAGCTAGCTTATTTTATTCAGACATGTAAAGTGAAACACACATAATTTTTGTTTTGGACTAAATTAGCAATTATAGGTTATGGTCCTTTTTAGGGAGTAAGATCATTTGTAATGATTCCAAGCATTATTGTTTAAATGTATTAACATAACAGATCCATAATAACAATAATATACAACATTTGATATAGCGCCCTATCTAGCTAACATAAGCCACTCTAAAGCGCTTTACAGTACATAGATATACAATTAAGACAATTAGGATATACAATTTTTGAGGAATTAGTGACCGGGGAGATAGTGTGATGGATGAGCTCTCAGCTTGATAATCAATAAGTTTTGAATTTGGTCCTTGAAATGGAGATTTTTTTTAGGGAAAGGAAAAGGACAAGCAACTTAATGCAGAAAAGGGGGGGACTCTCCCCCTTAATTACACCCTCTTTAGTTGTCCCAGAAAACATGAAACACATCTGATGAAATGTGCATTGGAAAAATATCAATCTGCGAGTACTTAAATTGAGCATAAAATGTCGACAATAATGAGGAACCAGGAAAATGTCTGTTCTTATGCAAGCATACAGTCAGAAATAGATAACTGCTTCCATATCATCTTAAAAACTGATAAACTATATGAAAACAAATAGACTAATTTAGTCAGCTACAGTTTCTGCTGGTACCACCAGCTGTATACATGAGTGTTTACATTGATAATCAGCAATCAGTTCAAAATCATAATCAATAATCAGTTTGTAATTAGAAGTAGTAAGCCCATTGATGATTGCTTGCATAATCAGTTTACCACTTCATGTGACTGTATACCCAAATAAGAAGCCCGAGTTTCTTCTGGCTCTGATAGCAGACAGATAGATGTCTGGTGTCAGGGCAAGAGGAAACTCGGGATCTATCGGTCAAAATGTCTTAAGTCTGGTGTCAGGGCCAGAGGAAACTCAGGTTACCAAATAAGATGGCAACACTATTGTTACATCAATATTGACAAAGTTGTGTGCTATAATGGGTACATTAAGATTCCTTCTTTTATCATGAATAGATTACAACCAACATTTACAGTTTTGATATTTTTCAACATTACCGTCAACCAAAAAAAAAAAAAAGTTATAAAAGACTTTCAATGCATATTGTACACTGCATACATTTGAATTCAGTATTGAACAAATTATACCGATTATTGAAATTATTATCAATAATCGGATCTGAAAAGTGAAAACCTGTCAAGTTTTGTTATAATTGATCATCAGCCCACTACTAGTATACATATACAAGTTATAATATATATAAATGTTTGAGAAGAATAAATAATGGTTACACACTATACATATACATAATACATTGTACACACATTCATCTGTACACTGTACAAAATATGTACAGTCGTGGATTTTTTAATCAGACATTTTCATTCATGCAAATAAAATCTTATGAAAAGAACATTTACAATGTACATCTATTCATAGCTGCCAGAACTAAAAGCATAAAATAGACAAGACATTTAAAAAAAAAAATACATAGATAATTGTCTGTTTCACAACTATATATTTCCAGGCACAAAAGCGAACACATATTAAAATTAACACATGAATATTGTACATACTTCTCACATGGTTCAACTCAATAAAAAAGTAAAATATTGAAAAGTTGTGTTAACAGATTTCACAAAGACGTTGTCCTAGTATCAACAAACTATGTGTACTCCCACCAGCACACAGGATAATGCCCTACTGTTAATGTGACTAGACATTTCTACAGTCCTACTTCCTCGGATTCACATAACTTTCAGAGATTAATAAACATCTTATATAAAACATTGAAATGTATCTATTTGTACATTATAGCAATCTTTCACAAACAATCCTTTTACTTTTAAGCTTTGTATTGTGTTTTATACAGTTACATTGTTTTATTAAGTACATTGAATCCCTGTCAATTTACATAACTGTAAACCAACATTAATATATTACACCCTAAAGTGAGCTGGCTGTGGGATAATTTACACATGAACTATTTTTGATATCCCCAAAATGATGTTGCAATGTCACATCATATTACTGCATGCATATGTAATCAATGAATTGAATGAATAATAAAGTTTGGAAATGTACTTTAAATTTACGTTTTGGTTTTACTTTGGTACTTATTTGGAATCACAATAATTGATTTTGGATTTTCTCGACATTAATGAAAGTGTGAACAAGGGAACATTTACTTAGCCTTCGCTTCTCAATATTCCTTCTTAGTATATCACACTCGTCGGATAATTATCTAATATATGATGTTTTTAATGAATCCTATGAATAAACAAATTCAATTTCAAAAACATGATATGACATGACAGGGTCCAGTAATTCAAGTGCAGTTATTAAGTTTAATTTTCATTTTATATTAAAACATATTATTGCCAAACAATCAGAAAATATACAATGTTTTCATGATCTCTGTCCTAAGGTTATCACTTAGAATCCTGACACACACAGTTTTCATTAAAATTTTCAAAAAATATAAAAACATTTGAGTTTCGGAATTTTCATGTTTGTCTCATAAAGCTGATAGCGGTTTGAGCAAATGACCGCAGATATCAACAAAACGTGTTTCTCATTCTGTCTTAAATCTGTTATGTATCTTACACGCTTGTACAGAAATCATTGTTTCAGTCGTCAAATGCAATTAAGGTGAATAATTACATATCGGTCTTTTCCAAACACAAGTTTGATCATGAGATTGGTTTTTGAGAGCTCCTCCGGGTCGTCTAAGTAGCTGTAAAGAATAATAAGAAGGATTTTACGAACACAAACATGTAATAGGGCTGTGTTTACTTTAATACACATTTGTAACGAGCAAATATTAATAAAACAAAGACCTATTTGAATGCATATAGTGGCCTAAAAAAAGTGAGTACAAAGAATATATTGTCCCCTAAAACATAGGTAGCAGTGTACAGTAGAGGGTTGTGGCCATGGGTGATATTTTTGTTAAATGGCTAACCCCTGTATAATGATATGTAAAAAAAAATATAAATAAAACTGTACTAAAATTGGTATAAGCATGATGAAGTGGGCTATGTGAGCTTCACATTTGTAAAAAAGAAAGATTTTTTTGGTTCGAGAATAAAATAATTTTGGCCATAATCCGAAAGGGTGCATACACATGAAAAGCTAGCTTTACAGGAGGTAAAATTTTGACAACAGCACACGACGCAAAATTGCAAAAAATCAAGTTTTACAACTTTACTGGGACCCAGATAATTCTGCAACCAGGTAGGTAATCTTTAATTTCAGACAGAGCTCAGGAAAAAAATTACCAGTTGCGGGGGTTAAATTTTGGGTTGAAAATAGCAATTTTTGGCATTTTTTGGTAATTTTTGATGTGGTAACCATGGTTTTCACACATGTGACATACATAGAAAAAAGAGGTTTATACACTTCTCAGTACTTTATATGTATTGTAAATGTAATGCAGTTTACAAATATATATACATGTATACATGTGTTGTGTAGGGTAAATCCGCTGTGTTTACATTTCCTTGACATGTGCCTTGTTTATCAGAGTCGGGCCATTTCTACTGTATTCTGCTACCATATTCTTAAATTTATTTTTATTTTTTAAAACTTTTATTTTTCACATCATTTAGAGATGGGTTGAACATCATGTATTCTTTTTCTTTTTGGATAATTTTTCTAAATCAATTTTGACAAATATGTAAATTAACACATCTTCAATACTGAATAGGGCTGTCACAATATATAGGAAAACAGGTATATATCACAATACCACGTATGTCGTATCGTACCACAATACAGAGATGAAATGTTGCTGTATCGCAACATTTTTCAAAAGCATATTTTTATCTGTTTGATGTTTTAACTTTGCAAATTACAACAAATTCTAACAGATATGCCAATAAGCTTAAAGCAGGCTTTTAAAAGTTCAAATTTTGTAATCGATAATTGGTTTGACAAAAATCTGAAATCTATGTAATCCATTTTATATATGATTAAGATCGATAACATTCTGACAACTTATCATAAAATTGAGCACATATATCGTATCGCAATATAATCATTCTGTATTGCAAAATATGGTGACAGCTCTTGGCATATTGTGACACCACTATTACTGAATAACGCGCCCTACCATATGTCTTCTTGGCTACAGGTGTTGATGTATTGCTCATAGAACCTTTGGACCTTTTTGGACCTTCAATGTCTTCCCGTCTTAATTTCCTGGAAAATCAAGAATAATTTTTAAGACATCTAAATTAAAAAAAAAAAATCTTCTTTATGACATCCCTCTTTCCCCTCTTAAGAAACATCTCTGTCCCTACAAAAGATGTTTAAATGTCATCGAAATGGGAAAAAACACACCAGTCCCCAAAGTATATTTCACCTAAAAAACACACCTGTCCCCAAAGTATATTGTATCTAAACCAGCCATTTGGATTGATATGTCTCGCCTATGCCCCGCTTTGACCATCAATGCGCATATCAGATAAACTACCTTAAACGAAAAACTTAATGTTGATGGAGAAGCTGACAAAGTCAATGGACCATGAAAGGTAGGCTGCATCCATCATTTGATTCATGAGTTGAGATTCTACAACTTGAGATGCATCTATGGTCCAAGTTTCGTTGGTCTAGCACTCATACCTTCAGAGAAACTAACTTAAGCGCAAAAACTTAATGTTGACGCTGCTGGGAAAGGAACACCTTAGTCTCGCTTCCACTTTATGGAGACGAGACAAAAGCACACCAGTCTTTACAGTACATTCCAACCTACAATTTTTTCTTTGAACTGTTTGGAGTTGGACTTTCCTTGGGTCTAAACTTCTCCTAGGACTGTATTGGACTAGTGTTCACTTGTGATTTTATGGGTCTAGACTTTTCTTTAAACTGTACAAGGCTACACTTTCTTAACCCACGGAGAGTGGTCAAATAACGTATTATATTTGGACAACTTACGACGTAAGAGACATCTCTTTGTACGACACCTGTGCAGTTCCCCTCCTCTGTCGTTTGTTTTCTGGTTCATTGCTGTAAAACAACCGCTCAATGTATATCAATTTGTACAAACATTTTTACTTTTGGCCTGCAATACTTTATCACTGTGAAACATTTTAACTTTTTTATATCTTGATCCAATTCCCCTAGTATTTCTGTGTTGTTTTTCATTGAAATACCACTTTGGTATTTTAAAATGATGAAACATTTAATTTGGATATGTCGAATCTGTCGATATAAACATTTTAAAAGTAAAACATGAGTATAATGATAATGTGAATGGAATGCAATTTTATTTGGCTGCAACAGCCTTTTGATTCATAATGTTTTTCAATATAGCAAACTGCATGACGTATTTTGTATTTCCACCCGATATTTGTCTTTAGTCTCAAACTAGTAAATCTAATAACAATGCCAGGAACTGGAACTTTTCACTGCATTGTTGAATTCACTGTTGTATCCTTCCGCAAAAAGTGTGAAAATTACCCTGTATACAGCATCTTACAGCTATTTATTCAGAGCCAGGTCAAAGTAATACCTAACAATCTATAAATGTCAAAGCTAGTTAAATTTCACTGCATACAAAAAGATTTTCAAAACTTTGTCAGCTGTTACTTGAAGCTTGAGTCAGCTTGTTGACAATTTTAAAAACTGATCCAAACTGGGATACAAAAACTGCTCCACAGATGTGTTGACATTTACTCACCTGCAGCCCATGTCTAGTTTTGAGAAGTCAAAGTTGCTGAGGCCAGCTGAGGGCTGTGACCCTATCGACGTCTTACTCTGTTGTTTGTCTAGTGACACGAGCTTCTTCCTGATGTTCTGCATTTGTTCCGAAAATCCCAGAGCAGGTCTGTCATTCTGTAACACAGATGCAGTGTATAAGTAAAATAAATGTTTTCCACCGAGTTACGATCATGAAACAAACTAGAGCAATTTTCAAAAAATATTGATGAAAACTTTCGGGAATACAGCTTTATTTTTTTCCGTATCGCTTTATTTCATTTTTGTGAAAAAATCACAAATCCCACACCCCGCTCCCCTATGGATTCAATGAAAAAGATATTCGGTTGAAAAAGTCAACGGAACAGATAAAAAAGACGAAGGCTTCACTTCACTATGTCCCTGGTAAAGTGACCCAAACATAGCCCAAAGTTTTCCAGCCACAAAACCTAATTTTGATCATTCTTCAACAGATTTTGTTAAAAAAAAATCAATTGGAAAGTTAGGACTTGAATGTTACTACTAAGTATTTGTACATGTTGCAGGCAATTTCCGACACCATCATTGAAGCTGCCGACAGAGTGATCACAAGCTATGTTGCGTTTGCTTTGTAAGTGACAGGGGGTAGATGGTAGGGATACAAATTATCTGATGCACATTTTACTGCAAACTGCAATCATATTATACTGTATTCCACTGCCATCCTTAATGAGGGCGAATTATCATTACATCGAATATAGGTTAACAAGATAACACCTACCTGGTAAAGTGATTATATATGCAGGGCATATTTGACACTGATCGAATATGGATTTTAACAGTGAAAGGCAAAAAATCTGACTGGGTGAAAGTGTCCTGGTATATATACATTTGGTATGGTTTGTTTGTGTTTTACGTCCTACTAACAGCTATAGTCATTTAAGGACGTGCCAGGTTTTGGTGGTGGAGGAAAGCCGTAGTTCCAAGAGAAAAACCACCGACCTACGGCCAGTACCTGGTGACTGCCCCACGTGTCATGAACCCATGACCCAGTGGTGGAGGACTTTTGGTAGCAGATTGTTGGACGCATAAAACACTTGGCCACTGTGGCCCTGTCCTGGTAAAATACAATACAGATGGTATTTTGGCTAAGACTAAATATTTTACATACCTCCTTGTCTGTACTGGAAATTGTCTCATTGACCGAGTTGCTGTTTCCTGGAGTCTGCTGCTCAGCTTCAGAAACTGAACTGCAATTGGATCGGCGCCGCTTACTGGTACTTTTCTTCGCACTTTTCAGTTTCTTTAACTTTGAACTCACTGTTTTGTCTTTTGGAGTGGCCTTTGACCCCTCTACAGTAGGTGTACTTGGAGTTTTTGGCAACTTAATCTTATTAGTTTCTACATTATAGTTATTGGAAAGATTCTCAAAATCGAAAAATAAATCCTGGTCCTCGAAGGTGTCCATTGTCTGTTTGCTTAGCTTCAGACTTCTGCCTCTTTTGGTCACAAAGAGACCTTCAGCCAAGCGTGGAATCTCATCTCCATCACTAGCATCGATCCTCCGTTTCTTCTCTGACGAATTGTCCTTTTCTTCAACACTTTTTGCATCCTCTTTTGTTTTAGTCGTGTTTGATTGTTCGTTGGTGTCCAAGGAATCTGAGCTGTTGCTACTACTTTTCTTGTGAAGTGACAACTTTTTCTTCGCCTTCACTTTCTCTTTTGGCGGTGGTGGTGATGATGACACGATAATAACAGATTCATCAATCTCTACGTCATCATCTTTATTTTCTTTCACGCCTGACTTTAACAAGTTCTTATTCGCAATGTTTTTCTGTGCTGACACACTGGCCTTATCCTCATCAGAGCTTGCTGGGACCTGGTCCACTTCAGCTGTAGGACTTCGAGACTTTTTTTTAGGCAAATCATTTATCTGTTCTTCATCACTGTGAAGTACCACAACTTCTGGCTGTTCCTGTTCCTCCGATGCGTTTGTCTTGGATTGCGTTCCATGTTTGGAAGCAACCCCTTCTTCCCCTGTCGATTCCTCTTTTTTCTTGGTCCTAGATCGGGCCCTTGACCGACTCCTTTTAAAGGCACCCTTCCTTTCCTCCTCAATTAAATCTGCATCGGCAGTCTTCATTTTTCTAAGTTCTTTGTCAGGTGTTTCTTCAACATTTATACAGTCAATACCTTTTGATTTTGTTTGGGATGATGATACATCGGTCTCACTCTGTGAATCAACTGTGTCTTTTCTCCGTTGACTTTTTGATCTCCCCCTTGATTTCCTAGTGACAATATCAAGGTCTTCCTTGTCTTGAATTACTCTCCCCCTTGATTTTGATCTCTCTCTTCCTCTTGATTTTCGGCTGACAATATCTTCCTTAGTTGGGCTTTCTCTATCTGATGACCTTGCTGTCGACGTATGACCTTCATTCTCTTTTTCAAATTTAGATTCAGAAGTCTTCACATTTGCATCTTTGATTTGCCTGCTTCCAGAAGTACTTCTTGATTCATAAATATTGGAGTTACTGTCGACATCTTCCAATGGAATATCCTTTTCCGAGATGTCTTTGTGATGTCGACTCCTGGACCGTGTCCTGGATTTTAGTCCATTCTTTTCGCTCAACAAGTTTGTGTCTTCATTAGTATCCCTTTTTCTTTTGATGCTTCGTGATCTGGAGTTGGTACCATCACAATCAGAATCCAAATCGTCTTTCGGTGAAATGACATCCTCTTCTACCTGCTCTTTGCGCCGTCTGCTTCGAGATCGTGTTCTGGAGTTCATCTCATCTATCTCACTTCCTTTTTTTCCATCATTGTCAACATCCTTTTTCCTATTTCTACTTCGGGACCTTTCAGTAACAACTTCACTCTCAGATTCCACATTGTCCTTCCTACGTCTGCTACGTGACCTTCCCCGTGACTTGAAATTTTCAGCCTCTTCTTCAATTCCACTAGAACTAGATTCCTTGGGGTTTGCTGGGACAGGGGAAGCTACCTCTTTTGTGTCCTGTCTACGCCTGCTGCGAGACCTCCCTCTTGACTCCAGATCATTTACAGCTATTTCATCTGTTTCTGCTTTTTCCTCCCCCTCTTGCCTACGCTTGCTGCGAGACCTCCCTCTTGACTCCAGATCATTTACAACTATTTCATCTGTTTCTGCTTTTTCCTCCGCCTCTTGCCTACGACTGCGGGACCGGGCCCTCGAGCTGCGACTCTCAATTTCATTATCAGCGTCCCCTTTCCTTGTTCTACTTTTTGACCTGCTGCGTTTCTGTACTGGGGGCTCGGGTGAGCATTCCTTCAGAGGTTCGTAATACACCGGATTGTCGGATAAAAGTTTGATATCAGCGGGTTTACTTCCTGCTGAAGTTTTCTCTTTCTGTTCTTTCCCACAACTCTCTCTGAACTGACTCAGCGACGGTTTGTTAACATTGTCTCTCAGCGACTCATTCATGGACAAATCGTACACCGAGCCTGTTGTCTTTGCTGTTGTAACTTCCTTAGCTTTTGGAGTCCTGTCGTGAAAATCAAATATTGATTTTAGTTCCTTAGGTGATTCTGGCACGGTATCTTTCCGCCCTTTACTCCTGCTCAATTTTATCTTTGATTTTGTTCGAGCTTTCAGTGGCAGCTTTGAGGGAACTGGTTTTCTTGACCCATCCATTTCCTTCCTGGATGCCGAGAAGATAATTTTACCCGGACGCGGAATACGGAATTCCACAGATGCTGGCTTGCTCAGTGTCTCAGAATCTGATGAATCAGAAGAGTTAGGCAACAAAGTAATGCTTTCACTTCCTTGCTTGGATGTTTTAGGAATTTCTTTTTCCGATTCTGATCGACTGCTTTTCGTAGCCTCTATTTCCGTTGATTGATTTTGTTCAGAGTTAGCCAATTGAATAAGCTGTGTGTTATCAATTACCTCAGTCATTTCCATGTCTAGACTGAAACATTGTGTAACATCTTCAGGATTTCCCACTAGAACAGGCGACAAGCTTAGATTGCTGGCTGAATTCGAAAGCGCAGGTGGGAGCAGATATGTTTTGCGTCTATCATCTGCAGTCTCTCCTACACTTTCGACAGACAAACATTCAGCTGACTTGGAAGTGCCGGGCTTACAGGACTCCCTAACCTGTTCCACTGCCGGCACCACAAAAGTTTTTCTACGGTCCTGTACGTCAGCACTGTCAGCACATTCAGTAACAGTCAACCCTGGCTTGTCCAGCCTTCCTTTTGATCTTGACCTTGTCTTTGAACTAACTACAGGTGACTTGGGTTTTTTTGATGGTTGGGATAGCATGTTTAATTTTGAGGAGGAATCACTTCCTGCTGCAGAGCCTTTGTCGGATGGGTCTTTGCCTGTTTGTGAATTCTTCGCGGCTGGTTTGCTTTCTTCATTTTCCATATCTGAAGCATGTTCCTTAGAAAACATTGATTTTGACGGCATATTATCAGACATCTTTGAGGTGTTAATAACAAATGTGCCTCGTCGATCCAATTTCTTGCTTCTCACAGCAGGACTACCAGCTTGAACATCCACCTGCTCCGCGGAAGCGGAAGCAGACGGAGGCTTAGATGTGTTAACTGGAGGAGACTCTCGGCTCTTCTTCTTCAACACTCGCTGTGGAGCCATCTTGACACAGCTGTCACCACTGCTATCACTGAGAGATTTTGTTTTATGTGGTTCTTCACTTTCGTTGTCTGACTCTTGAATATCTAAAAAAAGATAGTTATCAATGATGAAGTAATCATTCTTATAATTGACAGTCACAGCTATTCCATACAGAGCATATATATATACACTCTCTATTGATAGACGAAACTTCCCATGTTTCATATGAAATTTATAATTTTGTCACCTCGTTGTACAGGTAAACAGTACCAATTGTTCACTCAGTAAGGGACCAGATGATCTTGAAACGTTGTGACACATTTAATACTTACAAAGTACATTGTTGGTGTATAATGCTACAGGTTGATATATATATATCATTAAATATCTATACTGATTTCTGTGTTTCTTTTAGAACTCCATTTTAGAGTAGAAGAGTTATGTGAGTTTGTATTTTTAATTTGCTATCTCTCAAAAAAAAATCTTACAAAAACTTAATAAAATTGTATCTAGAATGGGGTTCAAGATGACAAGTGATTTTCTTGACCAAAGTCTTAGATACCTCTGCCTTCAACCTCGTTTGTGTCCAAATGAGCCAAAAAACACTAGGGAGTTAATTTGCAAGTTTCTCACATACACATTCTTATCTATAATATATATCTTTTATTACCTGTGATGTGCTCCATCAAGTCACTTGGAGGCGTTATATCGTCGAGCAGTACAGAGGTCTCTGCAATCATACTCATATCGTGGGAGATGGCCGAGAGTGGCGATGGTCCTGACTCCGACGGCAGGTCATCTTTGCTTGGTAACATTGACGAGAACACCATCTTTGGGATCTGAGAGAAAAGAGACCTACAACAAAATAACATTTTTATCTTTTGCAGGTCTTTTAGGAACCAACAAGGGCAAACGAATACTAAAAAAATAAAAAAAATATTAGAGTTCTTCAGTTAGGATAAAAGATGACACAGTTCTGCATGACTGCCATGAGCAACCAGCATGAGATGAACTATGGAAAATGTACCAATCAAGGCTAGAAATTGATTTTAAACATCACTATTCATTTAGACTAGTAGTTTCCAATACTTTATATTACCAGTCCATGTGCAAATTTCACTGGCCTAATATTATTCAACATGCTAAGTTATAATAAAAAAAAATTGACTAGTCAATCAGACTAGCAGTTTTTAAAACCACTAGTCCAATTGGAGATTTCACCTGTCCCAGACTAACGGGATACCCTTATTGTCTAGCCTGTCCCAGACTAACGGGATACCCTTATTGTCTAGCCCTGCCGAGTCTTGGTAATCAGGATTTGTCAACTTGTGCATCACTGAAATAATGTACCTATGTATTGAACATTTCAGTTGGGAAGTATCACTTCAAATATTGAAGATGTCATATTGACATATAATAAAACATAGTTGATAGTTGGCCACAGTAGGTTGAAGTCCAGTAGTTATAGTTATGTCCTGTACAAAGCCAATAATAGGATATAGTATGTAATCAAAACTGTGCTACTGGCAATGTCGTTATGATGACAAAGCTGAGCAACTGGCTAACGTAACTGATAGAACTGTTAAATCATAGAGACATGTAGTTGTAACTCTGAATTTATAGTAATGGGAAGTAATTCATGTCAATATAGCTTGTCTTACCCTATTGTACTGTACATTTTTGGCACATCCCATATTTTCATAAACAGTACATTGAATTCTGGAAAAATGGGGGCCAACATATGCCATTACTTTTCTCTCTCTCTTCCTGACTGTCTTCCAAATGCTTGATCAATTAGTTATTTTTACTAGAAGTAAATCAATGAGTTTTTTCCAAGGGATGCACATGTATCAAATTGATTGTTCGTGAATATTTCAGTTGAGAAACAAAATGTAATGGGATAAAGTGCAGAACTAGTGTTGTTACAATGAACTGATGATTAATCCTTTTACCATAACCTATGGCTAACTATAAATTGATCGTGATTTTCTATTATGGACAATGGTTCGACTTTGACAGGAAAATTTTCAAGAGTTATTGAGATTCAGAATAGACCTGAAATCTGATTATACAAACAATGTTGCTCATTTGTTTTATCATAAATTCCCAACATTATTGTATAAAGCCTGGGCTTCAGTTTACTTCCAAATGGTGGTATATAACCTCCTAAAATGGCTGTTGAGCCTCGAAAAACATTTGTCTCTAGCTATGATTTCAAAAAGTATCCACTACATTTTACTCATTTCAATGAATGCTCCTCTATTTTCTTTCCATCTAATGATGAATTAACGATTGTTTGTTTGAGAAACAGTGCCGATTGATCATGAATTTGAATCAATTCCAAACATTATTGTAGAAAGCCAGGGTTTCAGTTTACTTCCAAATGGGGGTATATATATGACCTCCTAAAATGGCTGTTGACCCTCAAAATGTTGGGATGCTTGCCATATAAAGGGGTCAGACTTTGTTATAATTTACGTCTGATTTTATAGCCAACTTTCATGTCTTTTGAAAACACGGTAGGCTTTACCTGCAGTGACCTTCAAAAGTTCCATGCGACATCGAAGTTTCGCTGAGAGAGCTACCGAGCGAGGCGTCGCGATGACCGCCACTGGAGTGACGCGACAACAAATTACACATATCCATTACGTCGTCCATGCAGGCAAACGCATCATAGAAAAGTCGCCTCATGCCGACCATCTTAGTCTTCAGTTCCGACATGTGTTTCTGCAATGGAAGGCCGACATTTATATAAAGTTTTAACTTATGAATATATATCCATCCTAAGTTGTGGTGTATATATATGCTCCAATTGATTGAATGCCAAATAATTATAAGGCTTAAATAAATATCAGGTATAGATATGTTTGGCGTAACAAGACCAACCCAGGAAAAAACAGTCAGACAGTTATGAATTCTTTTTACAGAAATAATCAATATTATCAAAATTAGATTTGCTTGGTGTGATGATTACATCTCAGATCACTTATGAATCATCGAGTGATGCATGTTAGACCTCTATCATTGACAGGATTACATCATGTATAGAAAAAACAATTACTTGTATTTCTGCTATCAACCTCAGAAAAAATAGGGTAGGTAGGTAATATTTATTTTTTAATATTTTTACTAATTATTAAACTATGCTGATATAGATTAAGAGTCCTGAATTTAACAGTGGCTATCAATAAATGCCAATAAAAACTGTAGGGTGGGCACAAAAATCTCGGGTAGGTAGCTATAGGGTTAGCCAAAACAAGATTTTTTTTCAATTTGGCCTATGCATTTTTGTCAAAACTGTTAGAACTATAAAATCACTTTTACTGACATATTTCGTCTTTGCGTATTATAGAGTATCTTCTCTTGTGAGCAGGTATTGATTGTTACGTCATTGGTTTGTGTGAGAAAATTACGTCGTTTTCTCAAAAATTGATGACGTAATACTCTCACAAACCAATGACATAACAATATTAATCAATACCTGCTCACAAGAGCAGATAACTCTGCAATGCGAAAGGACGGAATATTGTATATATTTATTGAACAAGTTTTCAAATTGATTCTGATAAGTTAAAAGTTCGGGCTAGACAAGGATCACATTACGTGAGCGTAAAGATGACTGAAGATTCAGCACAATTAGATTTGAATTTGTCGTTGTGAGTTTACATATGACAGATATAGGAGGTTCTGCTCGTTGATTAAACCCGAATCCTATAATGTATAAGTACCTTTAACCTGGCATTGACTTCATTTTCAATGTCCCCATCTTTCAGTCCAGCCACTCTTTCTAAAGTTGTGAGTTTCATGTGAAGTTCTTGGTTTGATCTCTGTAGCTCCAGGTTTGAATCATTAGCAAAACGGAGAGCCTCCCTAGACCTCTCCAAGTTAAAGGCCAGCGCCTTGTTGTTTGCCCGCAAACTCTGCTTCTGTATCGAAGTACTCACTAAAGAGAGTTGAAGATTATGAATATTACAATGTAACGACACATTTATCAAATTAGCTATTCTTGTTACAAACTACAAGTACAGTGTATATATATACATGTTTAATACAAATCAAATTGATATTTTCTCTTTTCAGGACAAGTATAGATCATATATTCAGTGGGTTTTTTTTGTCTGGCTTTTGAGCCAAAAATAGGCTTGCTTCTTCCTCTTTCAAAAAAGTGTGCTATTTTCCCAAAATGACAAAAAATATCTTCATAATTTCCTTAAAAATAATAATGTCATTTTTCCAATTCATAAAGGATCAGGCTGTTATAAAATTCAGTGAGAAAAAACCCACTATTTATGTATACCATATATGCGTAGTCATTACATAACGTGTCAGCCAGTTCAGTATATATACTCACAACTAATATTACTACGACCATAGCTGAATGTTTTCTTCTTCTTTGTTGAGGATGAAGCATTCAGATCCAGCTTCTTTTTCTTTATACGCTTCAAGACTCTTGGCTTCTTTTCCTTTGGGGTTTCAGTATCCATGGTAACCAAGTTATTTTCCTCCTGTTTATGTAGGGAAAGAAAATAGAAAATCATATAATATAAGTGTGCAATCAATTGTTGAAACTCATACACAATTTTTTCTCAATTTAGTATTCTTCAATTTCAATGGGGCATCTCAAATTAAATTTAAAATGGCTTACACTGTATATTATGGCCACTTCAAATTACTATATCCTCGCAACTTTTGAAAAACGTTTTTATTTAATTGTTTTTTTTATTTCAGAGCCGATCTGTCAAATGATTATAAAATCCTAATTATGTCAGAATAAATCTATGTATCTAAGTACATGTAGTATCTATATCCTGACCACTGTACTAGTTGTAACATATAATTATCATCTCTAACCCAACCCCTCTCCCCCCCCAAAAAAGGTCTTGAATGCAGTTCAGGTATCAGTGTAATTTCGGGTCATCTGATAAGTTCTGTCAAAATTATTGATGTAGGTCTATATGTATATATGTAGACATCTGTAGTTCAAAGCACAAAAAAAACCATGGAAATCTGGTAAATATATAAGCAGTCAGTTACTAGTCTGGTATTTCTAACTGTTGAAGGCATATACATATATACATTTAGGGGATAACCATACTGTATTTTGATATGTGCGGCGGTATATCATGACTACCATAGGTATACTGTCGCAAATTGTGATCACTGTAATCGCGATATACCGCACAAATCTCAAAATCCAGGATGGTTATTCCCATTTTAATTCATATAAGCCACAAAACTAAAAGAAACGACGATTTTAAGATAGTTTTGAGTGTTTTCTTCAAATTCTGGGTTACTCTGCCATAGATTGGCGACGTCAGAAATATTCAAAGTGAGGCGGAATTACATTGACCATTCAGGGTCATGCTATTGTTTATGACGTCATGATCATGAATAATCATTTTCATGACGTGTCAGGTTCAGTCAGTGTCATTGACATCATTAACAATCGCCATCCAGGCTTTATATATGCAAATGAGAAATTTGCGGACAGTATATTGTGGTTATACTGTCACAAATTATTTTGATTGACCAATCAAATGTCGTGTTAACTACATCTCAAACGAATTAGAATTTTGTTTTCTGATTTATATAACGTGAAAAGCTTTTTAGGGGCAGCAGAACACTTGTTACAGTAGTGTACTGGTACATGTGTAAATGCCTCACAAGGGGTTACCCAAATCTGGGTTGTAAATAGGGTTAAAGATTTGGAAAAAGAAGGGAGGTACAGGTATACATGTGTTGATTGCTGGGTAACCAGGTGACTCAATATTGGTTGGACCATTAGCCTATAGCTATAGGCCTCTATAGTTCGGAGGTCCTGGATTCAAGCCTGGTCTGGCCCAGAAACATTTTCTCTCACCGAATATATATATACACCTTGTACATTTATATACATAATTATAGCTCACATTAAACACCAGCTGTGTCGACCATTATCGTAATGTAAGACACATGCTCATGACATGTTCACCTTAAGCTTGGCCACATTCATTTAAGGCCTGCTTTAGCATTTACAGAAGCTAGCTGGTCTGTCATGTGTTTCCCATAAAATATGACATTTTAAAAATACACAAACCAGTTGGTCTGCATGCGCATATATATATATATATAACAGGCCCCTAAATTATTGGGTTTTTAATCTGGATGTTAATTTGCATGGAACTGACAATGTGAAATCAAACTTTCAAACTACCATGATGCATTCTGACTTTCCATTGAACTGCATCAGTTAGGCCTACGCTATATTATAACAGGTTGTTAATTTTGGGGATCATTAATATCCAACTCCAACACTTGAACTAAGTGGTTAAATATATCCCTATTAACCCTTTCACCACTGTAGACCATAATGGACTCATCCAGATCAATGCATGGTAGATCTAGAGTCCACTAAATATAAAGTTACATAGGGGTGAAATGGTTTAAAAGATGTTGGGATTGTCCATCGCTTGAGGAAATGTCCCTGTTTGTGGGTGCAAAAGGCCTTGTTAGACGATCTGAAATGATGTGTGTTTTCAATATAAATTACAAACTGTCTTTGTAAATTTTCTATGCAAAGAGGGACAGTCCCTCATATTCATGAATGTTTATTAGTGTGATGATCACAACCTGACCAAATCGTCAGTTGCTTGCTGGGTGACCGTGTTTCTCGGGAGTGAAACGAACGTAAAACCAATCAAACTGACAGACTAAAACTTCATGCATTTGCGTCAAACTTCAAATTTATATGAGGCGAGTGACCTCGAGCTCCCCACTACCAACAGTCAACACCTTCATCTAATCGAAGCTAGCTCAAATTCATGTGTTGCTTTGCCAAGCACACTGATTAAAATTCTTGCTTACGTATACTACACAGAAATTAAACTGCAACTGTGACAAAACAAGTCATACAATATTTTCAAAACACAACAACTGACAGTGGTAAGGTGGTGATCAATTGCTTTGCAACAAATGTCATCATGTCAATTACACAAAGCCGTGGCGTGGTATTACCATAAAATAATATGTTATACACTATCAAGTACGCTTCGGCCAACGTGGCATAAATATCCGACCACATACAGTCCCAGTAGCCTAACTCCTTCGATAATCACAACATCGCAATCAGCCGGGACATTCAACCGTTGGCGCTAAGAATTGTCAAGGGAGGCTACTCTTCACAGAATGCGATACATGTTTTAGGCTGCACACTACTATATCACTGTGTAGGACTGACACCGGATATAGCTAGTACCGATTTTTTCCGATATTTCTTGTATTTTATGGTAGTGTAGAGACAAATAGATAAGCACGACAGTCAAGCATAGACGTAATTCATATCTGAAACAGGAGGCATGCACAGCACGCGTCAGGTGATTTGGTACTCAGTCGCCCGCCGAGCGACAAATTTTAATCCCTGTCGCTCGTAGCCGCGGGATGATCGCGGAAGAAACGCCGGCTATATCAAGGTATATCCGCCGGCTTTACATTGATAAGCCCTCCGTGACTATCCTGCGTTCATGGGTGATGGGGATTAAGTCTGGACAGAGAAAATACAGTATATTACTAGTTCAAGTTCTGTTCCAACTTTGGGCCATTTATGTGTCTGCTGTGGCCGCTGCTGGCCCTGTCTACGGTACCACAGATGCACAGTTACAATCGGCACACCGAACAGAAAGCGCTACTTGAACTTCCCAAAACGCCATAACATACAAGGGGGAAAATCCGTCTTGTAGTGGATATTTAAAAAGAAACGAGTTCCACGAGAACTATTTTAAATTACCCATGTATGCTAAATATAAAGTAGCATTGCCTTGTAACGTGACGTATATTGGGGCAACATTTACGATGTGCAAGTGTCCGTTAATTTGACTAGATTACACGATTTCCCCTTTAAACAATCCAGATTATAATTGAAAAGGACCGGTACGTTAATTAACACATCATTATTAGTGTCTCCGTTTGGTATACATTGTATATAATGTTATCACAGTTTACTGATCAACATAAGTTTATTGAAAAATCTACCGAGGCGGACAAGCCGACGGTCCCTGCACTGTGATATCACCCAAAATTATTGGTTGGTCTGAAACGTCAATCACATCTCAGCACAGTTACCCATCCTGTCATAATGGGCGGAGCTTACGCAATACACCGCATCATGCGACTGATTAGATGGTGTGTATCGTCGAGGTACTGCCCACTCAATTCCCCAAATTTTCGTATTTTTATTTGTGTTTGTAGAAATGAAAAATAAAAAGACGGTTGTATTAAATTATGAACAGAATGAAAATATTGGTCCTTACAAGTCAACACTTTAAATAAATGTTTAATATGGTTTCTCCTACCTGTAACATGGACCTCGCTAATTTCATGTTACCTAATATTATTTTATTCCGTGTGTATCTGTCGGAGACAACAAGTGTTCGTATGATTTCACGTGTAACTATTGCAATACAAAATTATATATAAAACAAAATCAGAATTAAATATGAATATAATTTAGAAGTTTTAAACCAACTACGTTTTGAAAGTTAACTGTATTGCATTTCTTTAATTATGCTCCCTTTGACACTGTTAGGTTCAATTTAAATTCGTCTAATATACCGTATTCCTTCACGGATGGTCATGTATAAATGATATATATATACATGTATATACACAGTATCATCGTAAGACGAGCTCATATTCCTACAAGAATATTTCCGTTTTTGTCATATTTTCGGACTTTTAACAAATATATGTTGTTTCTATGTATAATACTTTTTGAAGAAAAAAATCGATCGCATGCCGGTCCTAAGATTTGATCCACAGAATCGGTCGATGTTTATATAAATTCAAACTAACGTTGTGATCCATTTTCATACGTTGGTATAGTGTCAAAATGATCCTGATATGTGTTAAAACTATGTATTATCAATACTTAATAAAATTCGAACGAATGTCATTTCACACAAAAACGTTTATAATAATATAAAATGCAGCCGCCGTATATTCCGTAGACAAATCTGCATCTATCTGTTGATCTCACGTCTCTTTCAATGCAGCGTTCCAAACCAAATGCTATAAACTTCATTTCTTCCGTTTAAGAATAATGATACATATACAATTACGAATACAAATGGAAAATAATAAGGAAACTACTTTCGAAAACTTGCTCAACAAAAGTGATAACCAGCATTTATTTCATTTCGACTATTACAAAAGATATGTATTATAATAAATAAGATAATTTCTAACGTATTTTTCAGGAAACAAAAAAACCCCGGGTAAACAAGATCGAACATATATCACAAAATTGAAATTCGTCGCTTCAGTAAGATTTCCCGAATCTAAGTTGCTAACTATCAACGATAAGAGAATGGAGTGAAAACAAAAATGAACTTAAGGCAGAGAGTCTAAGAAAACTGTGTTATTTCTCAAACGAAGAAGAGTTCCAAGTTGTTCTACATTCTATTTTTACTTTCTGGTAATCAGATGTATGTGAAATTTTCTATTCCTCTAAAAGTAACGAGAATTCAACTATATGTGTACCATTTCCAGAGAAGTGAGTGACCACTTTTTAAATAAAGAAAGTAGTGAAAAACGATCTCTAGAATATTTCATAAACTCTTTTTTTAAATTATGTTACGGACAATTAGATCTTTATATAGACATCGTACAACTCTGATCGTAGACCAGTGACCGTTGCAATTCTTACCAGGTTAATTTCCCGCGTTAATTTCCTTCTCAAAAAAAGGTTGGTTATATAAATAATGAAACTAGTTATCGTACCGAGTACGTATTGTTAGTATTTATACGTCTCTGGTATCATATAAGAAATGCTTGTATTTCAGTTCTCTTTAAAATC